GCTGGCTCAATTAAGATAAAGAAAAATGACAGTATTTACTAAATTCTTTGTTAAGGGAGCTGAGTGCAGAGTACAGTGACGGATGGTTTACACTTTGGCCGGAGTTCTGGCAGGTATCACATACAAGACAGGTTTATTCGTATGAAGTTTGACCACCTGGAGTATTGTATGTCCACTTGTAACAAATTTGTTCTCGAAAATGAAGTGCTGAATGCACAACAGGGAAGTCCGTAAATTTTAAATTTTTTTTTAGTCTCACGTGTTGTGGCCAGTTCGAGGCCAACAATTGACGTTGGATGCCCAGAAATAAATACAATACAAAAACAGCCCAATGGTGACCTTCAGTGGGTTGAAACAGGTGTACCGACGCTTAAAGAAGATGATTTTATTCTATTTGTATTAAATTTAGTTTTATGGGTAAAAATAATGTAACTTACTGCATCATGTACAGCGCCAGATGGCAGAGCATTCGTATTTCGTTTTTTTTTTCACTTATTAGGTTGCTGCAAAATTATCTTTTCCAACAGGAACAACACAGTTTCGATTTATTTATTCAATATTAATTACACTCGCGAATTCTTCGATTAACAGATAGTTGCCAAATTTTTTGGTCAATAATAATTTTCTTTCTATTTTGTTTTACAACAGGGCTACCAACTGAAAATGAAACAACCCAATAAAAAACACTGAATTATTTATCTTGATTTTCATCATACACGCAAGGTTTTTTCTAAATTTGTTACGAAATGTGTCCCTAAGGTAAAAACTCATTTTAACTTCTAAAGGATCTTTAAACTGATTATGAAGTGGTCCTTAATTTTTAAAACTGGAGCAGGCCATGTTTATCTGGAACGGTCCTCCTTTTTGACTAGTCATTTCAAAAGATCGAGCTGCATAAAAACTACATGAAGAATATGTTTTCATTTTTATTTTGTAATATTCTTCAGTTTTAACAATAGCGGGTTTCGTTGAACTGGTTTTAAGATATTGTTATTGTCACTCTTTAATTGCTTCTTTAGGAACCACTTTTTAATCTTTCAATGTCGGAATTTGTTAATTTTGAGATAGACTACTCACACTAATGGCTCACCAGAGATTTGGAACGCTCGGGTTTTCAAGAAATTAAACCAGGGTAACACTTTCAGTTGTTTCTATACGCCTCCACATTTCAGGAGAGGCTTCTACCAAAATTAAAGGCTTAACAGAAGATTTAAGCCACACGTTTTTTTAGCTAGTTTATCACATGACTTCAGGTGAAATTTAAGGCCAGTCTCAACGTTTAGCTCTTATGGGGTTTTCGACGAATTTTCAGAATGTAAGTAATATCAAATATAGCCTGTCCACAGTAGTCTTTATGTATCGTACCATAGGTTTTTTAAAAATAATTGATTATCATCTTTAAACGAAGCCCACATTAAAGCTGCTTTCACCGTATCTCATTGTCATTACCGACGAAAAAGTTGTTTATGGTAGTATTTATTGTTTTGTAAGCCGAAAACACTGGTGATAACCGCATATCGCAATTTCCATAAATAATTGAGGTAGGGGAACGAGGGGCTTGTTGTAACAGTTTTTAGGAAATCGAATATAATTTGGTATCTATTAGATGTTTGACCATTATAAATGTATCTATCGGTAGTCTAACTATTCCCCTATTGGACTGAACAGGCAGAAGGTCAAAATTGTTCATCTTCACTTCACACCAGGCATTTTTTTTTAAAAAGTGCATTGTTACAACTTGCCCCGTGGTTGGGGCTAGTTGTAACAGCCATGAGACTGGTAGTACCAGTAAAAATAAAGCTGATGTTGATACATATTTAGACTTTATTTTTCAAAAATCAACACAACACTTCATTATATACATTTTTTTTTTCAGTAAAACTGAAATAAACTTTTAGAAAAAGAGTTAACATTAAAAATTTGAGTGTTGTCTCCCTTTTTCTTAATATATCTGGAAAGCGATATATGGCATAGGTCAAAATTTTGGCTCGCTTTTCGTATGCTAGGTACGAGATTTGTAGAAGTGAATTTGGGATAAGTTGTAACATGTTACAACTTGCCCCAAAGCTATTGTTACAACATGCCCCGTAGCACAATTTTCTACATTTAATTACATTTCGACAAAATTATGTGGCTTAGCGTCAAAATGTGTAAGGAATATCAAAGCTGAGTAATTTTTGAGCTACATGCAAAACTAAAAGTTTTAAATTAATTAATAACTGATACGAAAAACCAAATTTTACTAAAGCAATATTTTACATTACTTGGCTAAAACGAAACACGTGCACACATCCACTTACTGCGCTGGCTCAAGGAACAGTGGTTGTGATGACATGATGTCTTATGGTGCAAGAATTAAATTCAGTAAAATATCTGACGTTAAAGAGTTTAAATAAATTGTGGGTAAAAATTTAGTGTTACAACTTACCCGTGTTACAACAAGCCCCTAGTTCCCCTACTGAATTTTAAAGATAGATTTTGATCTTCGAGAGTCAATCCAAGACGATCTACTGTGTATATCCTTTAATACCAACATTTATTATCTGATGCATTAACTTTATTAGACCTGATATCATATATGCGGATGTAAAACGTTAAAGGTGCTAATTTTTTTAATAATAATGTTCTTATGTAACTGTTCAAAGTGTTAATCTTCTCATAAAATGCATTTATTTTATTCATCTATTATCCAAGAGCGTCCTTTGTTCTTTCTTGTAATAAACGTGTAATCAGCTTCGTAGTAAGTTAGCCAAAAAGGAGTAAATTTTGACGAAAAGAAAAAATCACATAGGATTTTGTAATTAGCACATGTTTTCAAATGTCTGTTATTTGTGTTCATTTTTACATTTAACAACATTTACAAATATTTAGACAAAATAATTTATTATTACAAAGTCATCGAACTATTCGATTACCAGAAAATTCGGGGACAGGCTAGATGAAATAAAATTTACATGGCATCGACAGCAGCCTTAATGATTGTTACGACACTCGGTGTTGGATGGTCAACATTACTGACAGCTCTTCGGAACGAAACGGATTTTACCGTTGTTTTTGCTAGCGACTGCTCTTGTGGAAAAGTGGCTTTGCATGTTTGGACATCACATGAGAATGCTTGACATAGTAGGGTATTTTTTGATAACATTTTCTATTTCACTTCAGAGTGGTTCAGTTTTTCAAAAATTCAGCTTTTCAAATATGTTACCAAGAATTTATCAGTACAGGGGAGTCTAGTGTGTTCTAGTATCTTCTATAGTTGGACATTTGATGGCTTTGTGGTGTCAATTATTGACAACTGCATTTCTACTTTGTCTATTGTAATTAATACCTCCAGATGACACGTGCCATCAAGTCTGCATTTATAGATTCTAGTGCCACGCACAGCTTGACCTCCCAGTCAATTTCATGAACCAAATGCATTCTAAAAATTTTTGGTTTTTTGTAAGGCTAATGAAAAACGATGACGAGATGTAGATTTTGCCATTTTTCTTTCCTGAAATCTCTTGTTTGTGCTGCCCGGATGACTAATTTGCATCATATTAACCAAGTCTTTGTTATATTAAATTCTTGTGCCCCGCCGTTCTACTCCATGTTGATAATCATGCTATCGGTGAAGTTAAAAAAAAATTCAATTTCACAGATGTGTTGTGTACTGACTAAGCAATTTCGCTTCAATCGCGGAATGCTACTGTAAACATAATTGAAATTTTACGTCCCAATGCTTATCTTGCATGCAAGACTCATAAATTTTAATCTCAAACAGTATCGTCCGACGAAGAAAATTTATAATCTCGCCGTCTTTGGAATACTTTGGATGCAAAATCGTCTCGGTTGTTGAGACTGTCATCGTAAAATGCAATGCCAAAAGATGACATTGATAGGAACTGACTTGCCACTTATCGGTTGAATTTAGTATACACAGACGTTAGACAATGTTAATAATACATATTTACGTCTGTGAATATTCAATAAGTGAGATTATGTTTGAGTTAGAAAATTCGGCTTACGTTTCGTGTAATACATTGTTAGTTGTAACACAAAGGAACAAGGATTAAAAAGGTCCAGTAATTAAAAAATTCCTTTTCAGTGATTTTTTTGTAAAGAGGACACCCTAAAAACGCCTTGTCTTTCGTTTGTCGTTTGTTACAGTTTTTCATGTTGACCTCGCGATCAACATTGAACCAGTAATTTACGCTAGAAAGAAACCCGATGTTAATGAACTAAAGATTATTCGGTATTTCCTAATTGGCGTTGTTTTGGTTGCTACCGCACTGTACGTGCCTGTAACATCCTCAACTCTTCCCATCGCGGTTTCAATAGACCAGTTTTTGTCTTCTACCAGCTCAACAATTAACATAAACAAAACGTTAGTGGTATCTCCCGTCGTTCCGACCCTCCGACACACTCAAGCTTATTTGTATAAATCCGTCTTCGTCGAGCGCTTTCGCATCGCAGACCCGCCGACCCCGTCTGCTGCGGCCAGACCAGAACTGGTACCTCTCCTGCAATGTCAAGAATGTCCGTGCGGTTGGGTTAATAACCCGCGGCGATCACACACCACCATACACCGAATCAAAGTCACGACCGTTCGAAAGTAAAAGGATTCGTTTTATGGCCGGGGCAAGCGGCATCGATCGTAGGGAACAGCAGGAGCAGGAGCTTCCGCGAAGAAAAACAAAGCACGGTCACACGCCCCAGGAAACCGCGGCATCGATCGAAAGAACGGCCAGCAGAAGACAATGAAGGCAGCAGGAGGCCGTGGACGGCACATGGACACCTCGGGAAATTGCGTGGGAAAGCGCCGGCGGCATCGATCGCAGGAGAAACAAAATCGGTGGACCGACAGGGTAACAAAGCGGTGGATTCTGCAGGAGCGCGCGGACCCCTCGGGGAAGCGCCGGCGGCATCGATCGCAGGAGCAGCAGGAGCCTGTGGCGGGCCACGGACGGGACAGTCGGCATCGATCGAGCAGGAGCAGCATGTGGCACCTGTGGACTTACCGGCGAAGAAGGCGGGCGCGTCAACCGCTGCAGGATCTCATACAGAGCGCGGGAGGCTGCGGCAGCAGGAACCACGAGTACTGCACTCGCGCACCAAGTACTTCACTTGCGCTAGAGCACTGAGACACAATACTGCAGGTATTCCATGGCACTTGCGATGTCGCGGATGCTGGATGGTGTCGCTGCGTTGCCACGTGAGGTGCACACTTCGAACGAAAACGGGGTGACGTCGAACCGCAACGACCAAGTGAACGACTTCAAGTGATCTGGTTCTGGTTCCTGTGTTGTGCGAGCGAAGGCCGAGCCGCCAGGGGGCGCGCGCGCAACCCGCGGCTGCGGATCTCATTACAATGCCAGAATCTACCGGCCACCGACGAGTTTTACGTTTACGTACGCACGACACCGACGGAAGAACCGGAGCCGCAGATGTTCCGGACTAGGAGCATTATGCCTCCTTGCCGCTGATACAAATTGCTCTCATTTATTAAGATGGGAACTCCGCAAACTGAATTTGATGCGGGATCGCCGGATTCGACTGGAGACTGTGGGGTGCCGCAAGAGGCGGACAAACCGGAGGAAGGAAAGACGTTACGATATTTATATTCTTTAAGGTAATGTCTATAATCGCCTACGCCATTCGAACTTGTTGATGCACTTTTACATTTTTTTAATTTTATTTATTTTATTTTCAGCCCAACTTACACAAACCCAACGATGTTCTGAAAACCAAAATGTTCAAAAATCTCTTGCATACAGGAAGAAATAAAAGAAACGAGTGTTAAAATTTTGTTAGATGACCTAATTTCGTCACCTCTTTAGATAATTAATAAGATATTATTGCTATGGAAATAATTATTTCAACAATCGAGCCTTTTCCTGTAACAGGTAAAATGTTTTCGTAAAATATTAAACGAATTCGAGAAAGAAGTGAGGGATTAATTATATTTAACAAAAACGACAAGACAGATGACATTCTTTTGCCATAAATAAAATATATGTACTTTAAAAACAAATCTGTATTTTTTACTTTCTGAGCGTAAGCTAAGGAAATTTAGTAATCGAGTCCATCGGACGAATGACCACTTTTTTGTTTTTTCAACGTTCATGACCCCTAGAGCACGAAAAAAGTAGTCTCCTGTTTCCGTCTGTCCGTCTGTCTATCTGTCTGTTTGTCTGTCTGTCTGTCGTCTGTGTCGATTTTTATTAGACGCGTAACTTCCGAAACTACTGGACCTATTGTTGCCAAATTTGATATGTATATTAGGAATATCATATACATGGTAAAACGCTAACCAAAATTTGGTTAATCATCCCCACCAACAATTTGATAACGTCATTTCGAGGAATTCTATTTTCAAATTATGTAAATGTTATACAACAATATACTCCTATACTTGTGGTGTACGAATCCGCTTTGAGTTTTTTCCTACACGGCCAAATGATCAGCAAAAAAATTAACACAGTATAATAACATTTTACCACTAACTCAGAATGTCTCTTTTTCTCTCGCACTGTGTATTATTTATGTTTATGACCGGTCACCATATTTTCTCGAAAAGGGTAGAGTACGCACGTTTAATTAATAATTTTGGTCCCCTGTTTTAAGGCGACAAACTTATTAAAATCAAACAATTTCTACGTGACATTTTTTCGATTTATAAACAAACACTTGAAGTTAAAGCTTGTTGTTATTGCTGAGAGGACATTTTTTCCCTTTGTTATCTGCTTTAAATATATTTTACTTTGTTCGTACTTGTGCAATTTACGCCCCCACGGAGCTTGTTATTTATGCCACTGCTTTTCATTTTATAGAGGTTATCACAAAACAAACATTGCGAAATCTAATTTAGAATTTAATTTAATTTAATCTAGTTTACTGAAGAGTTAATCCGCCATTTTCCATACACCCGGTATTTTATTAGCGCATGTGTAAAAGGAAGAGCAACAAAGTAAATGTAGTATGTAGTAAAATAACGCAGATAAAAAATGTCAATAAGACGGATTCATAAACGGCTGGTATAGAACTGTTATTTTATAAAATTTAACCAGGATGTTCTTTGCAAAACTTTGAAATGACGTCAATGAATTCTTGGTGAAGGTCTGAAATCTAAAATCAGAAAAAAATTATAAAAACATTCGCACATGTAAAACAAAAAATGTTTTATTCGACTGACAAAAATCAGCAAGATTTGCTTGTATTTGTTAAATATGTGTTAACAAGTCATTCATATTTTTATTTCTTAAGGGTAACCCAGGGAACTACATACTGCAATAGCGTCGATCCGATAAATGGCTAATTTTTTTGACGTTTCATAACGCGTACGGTTTAAAAAGATAGGTCTTCTGTTTCCATAAATCTTTCGTTGTTGTCTGCCTCTTGCCGATTTTATTAGACTGCAAGATTGTTTGTTAGGGCATTTTATATGTATTTCAGGAATATTGTGTAGATGGTAAAACGCTAAAACAGTAGGAAATACGTTTAATAAATAAACCAAGTAGGTTTGGGTTTGTTGTTTTTCTTAAATTCTAGCTAACGTTTGTGGGGCTATTGTTCACAACAATAACCATCTTGACCTCGAAAGTTCAACAATACTGTTTTTTAATCTGCTATACATTGTTAGATATAATCAAAAAATAGCCAAGAGAATGTGTGTTTTCCTATTTTTCTCTCTACCCAGTGGAGGCTCGTAGGTTACTCTACTAGCCGCCTAATTATATATATTTATTAATATATACAGGTACATAAGTATATATGTAGGTTATCCTTGTTAAATTACGCATCGTTATATCTTGAGAACAGATAGAGGTATTGAAATTCTGTAAACGCCGTTGGTTTTAGCTCGAAAAGGAACGCTTAATTTATGCGTCCGCGTCGCGACGCAAACCTATATTGTTCTGAATTGCAAAGTATATTTTATTAACGAATTTTGAGATATCGTTAAATTGCGGTTACAATGATATACGACACTTCGATAACGAGTGTTCAGTTGAAAAAGTCATCAAGTTTAGGTTTTATAAATACATAGTATTTATAAATGTGGTGTATAGTTGACATTTCGGCGTTGTCAGCTGTCATCGTTTAAATGGGTTTCTTGATGACATACTTCACAATGATCACAAAAAATCAAGATCAACTTGACGACTTTTTCAAATTTCAGTCTTGTTAGACTTATTAGAATACGAAATATTTGAATCTAACAACACACTCCAAGGGACTTTCTGAAAGTTATTGTTCAAAAAGGACTGTGAAATTACCATGGACTCACCTGAAAGCAAATTGCAGGCAAAATAAAAAAAAGCATTTCTCTCACTACACCTTTATAACCAATCACACAATTTGTAAATACGATTCTATCCATTTCTCAAAGTTTAACTTATTTTCAGCTTTAAGACATACTATTTCTTGAATTACCGATAACATATCGAGTTCGTAATTAACGAAATATATGAAAAAGAATGGAACTCGTTCATCCGTTGTAAAAATCGTACTGCACCTGTAACTACTAGAAAAGCAGTTGTGATTGCCGAACGCATTTCGTTAATCTTCGGTGAAACGTGATCATTGACCTTGTTGCTTCTTATGGGACTATGTTTGATTCTGTCTACTTTAAACGAATTTTGCTATAAATTTATTTCACTTCTATTCAAAGGAAATATACTCTGCATGAGGTCAATATTTATAACTGACCCAACGAACCGCGAATGAGTATGGTTTTTATTTTTGGGCGTGTTATTGACCAATTGACCCCATGGACCAGCCGCCACTTTGAATTCTTGATATCTCAAAAAATGTTATGTCGAATCTTATAGTCTCGAATCTTAAATTGGACTTTAAATATTGTTGAAATCTTATTATACTCCAAATCTTCTTATCCAGAAATGTCATCCGTAGTTTAACATAATATGTATATACAAAGGTAAAATTCTTGTTTAATCTTTTCCAAATCAAGAAGTTATAGTTTTAAAGGAGATCAATTGACAAATTTTAGGCGAGACTGAAGTGCGTAACTCGCTTGAAAAAAATGCTTTTGCATAATGTATACCTATCAAAGTGTAATTATATCATATGATTAAAAAAAAAGTGTAGCAACCTTTGAAATTTAATCTTGTTCAGTTTCACAGTTACGGTCAAATAACTGCAATGTCAATCATTAGTTTAAAAGTAAATTTCATGGCCGATTAGACGACTTTTTTTATCATATCGTATGAAAATGGAGCAACAATTTGCTACCTAATACAAATATTCCAAATATTATAAAGCTTATAGTTGGTCATTCAGATTAAACTTTAAATAAATCTAAGTTTACAAACAATTTGTTATTGTGTTTAATAGGACCATAGTTCGATGGGGTTATTTTTTCAATTTCGGCTTTAGTTGGTCATGACGATTACGTCAATTTCACTGCTGACGTACGCGTCTTGGCCAACTAGAGCAGAAATTTAAAAAATCACATGGTGTAAGAAGCATTTTTCTAATTATGTAATCTTTGAAGGAATTATTTATTGTTATTTTTTTTAATGAAATTCCAGAGCTAGCGAATCTGTCTATTAAATAGTTCTGCGCTTTTTCGGAGGTATAAAGCGAATCTTTTCTACAACTTTTAATTTAAGAAAATATGTATAAAACAATACAATCCAGAACAACAAGCAAGATCGGTAGGAGATACGCTTTTGTCTCTAGCCAGAAGATTATTCGCTTTATTATATTGAGCATTGGGAAGAGAATGTCTTTTGTGCTATTACTTGGACGACCCCGGAAAAATGCTTACGGTACGTCCATATTATTAGAAGACCGAAGACAAATTACACGCCACGCTGGAAATATCTCTCGAGACACATCTGTCAACTTAATCGTGTTTCTAGAGAAAACTTACTCGAATTATTGTTGTCAGACCGCTCAAATCGGATAGATTTGCACAAACTTTGAAAAGACATAATCCCCATTTAACTCAGTTGCATGGAAGGAGTTTTCAATTTGAATAAAGTGACGCACAACAAAATATCTTGGTGTATCTGATCAGATTTATCAACTAAAGTAGAACACCTATTATCGAACAGCGATATTTGTATCTTTTGTAATAAAAATGTGTAAAAAAGCTTCATGTTTTAGCACCCAAATAAAGCAATTTTTCTTAAACCACAAGTATTTCAAAGTATTACCCAATGTAGGTCAATGCAACAATAACATTAACAACATTTCTTATATGAAAATTCTATTATTATTCAATGTCAAAGTTTAATCATAAACACTAAACCAACTCTCGATTAAAATATTTAATGAAATTTCATTTTTAGTAATAATAACACTGCATTTTAAAATACAACTAAATCATACATCTAGAAATAATTTGGCTACATAATTTTGTCTAACAAGAGAGAGTCATCACGGTTGCCAGACTCACTTAATTTATGTTCATGTTGACGTACTTTAGTACTAAACTAATATTTTGAAACAATTTAAATTGCTTAATTAACCTGAACGTCACATCATTTATAAAACCCCCACAACTTTAAAGCAACTCAGAATTCCTCTAAACCGTGTTGAGGAATTCATGGTAAAGAATTTTGTTTATTTATACTACATATGGTCAGATCCAGTGATCAAGATGTAACCAATCGCCTACGCCGATCCACCATCTGCGAAAGAAAGGGAAAGTGAGGAGAATCTTAATAAACAAGATTACACCCAGAAAAAAAACACACAAGTGACACCAAAAACAAGCGATTCTAAGAAAGATCTTAATAACACAAGGACAGGTAGAAAATTGGATCGACCCTAAATGAACCTCCCAAAATCAAGGTTAAAATGAACGAACAACACGTTTTTGCACTTCTTTCCTTCGTCATGTCGTCGTGTGCTCTCTCTATATTAGGTGAGTTTTGTCGTTATGATAAAGAGGGATTATAAAGTTTTCGGCTATTAATCATCAGCGTTCGTGAGACGACATTACCATGTCAGAAAAAGGTAAGACTATTTATTGACCTTATAACAGAAGGCAATGTACGGGCTCTTAATTTGCAGAACCGGCTGAAGTTCAAGGTCCTACTTATAAATATGTTTTTCTCAATTTACCGGAGCTCTTTTCACAACAAAGTAGTTAATTGCCATTTTCTTACTTTAATCCGTGACGACAAACACTCTGATTGTAATCCGGAACAGGCTCGAAATAAAGAGGAGAAGTACAAAACAGATTGGGTTAATCTGCTTTTGTTTAGGAAAGTTATTTCGTTTTGTATTTATGTGATGCATTTGTTCACAGTCATGAGTTTCGTCTAATGGTCTTTAAAACGTTCATGGATCATTTATCACTTATTACTAGGAAGCATGGACTTCTCTACTGATTAACATTAATGTTGCTGGCCTTTTATGAAATAATACATTTTTTTAAATGGGTGAGTTAAATATGTAAATGCGTCTTCAAGACTAGTAAGTACATTATAGTTAGTTATAAATGCAAAAGGAAAGAAAACGAATGGATTCGGACACAACCCTGTCAGCTGAGGCCTCAAATGAGTAATTTTATTATACATACAGAAAACAGTGTACGAAAAAATAAAGAGGATCAAATCCGGTGACCGGATCAGAGTTACCGTCTTGGCGTTATTACCACAACCCTCTAACCAACTGAGTCATAGGGCCCATCCATTGTGTTTCTTTAATATACACGGTGTTTACTAAACATGCGGCAAAAAATCAGGGGGTTATTTCTTAGGTTATTTTAAGATATTTTTGACAGGAGCTCCAAAAACTATTTAAAATGATTACGACCAGGATTGTTTCCTTTTGCATTGCATCCTTCAATTATTGGATTTCTCAAATCTTCTTCATTTTCCAATGGAGTAGTGTACACTGATGCTTTCAAATTGGTTCGTAAATAAAAATTTAGGGGAGATAAGTCTGGGGATTGAGTAGTTTTGCTTTAATTTTACGCCCGCGTTTTTCCGACTAAAATTTTAAAAAATCTTGAAATAAGTCAAGGAACAGTTAAGTCAAGGAACAGGGTCCTGAATTTTTGCCACGTGTTTAGTTAACACCCTGTATAAATGGTTGTGGTATAATTTGGATCTTGTTTGGGAAAACCTGGATGCTTAGGATAAAAAATTAAGGCGGATTCATAAACCACAAGTACAAGACTTGTTAAATTTAAGTAATTCAATTAAGTTAATTAAAAAATTGAAAAAATAACCAAATGTAATACTAATTCATAAACACGGTACAAACAAAATATTTAATTGTGAAAAACTTGAAAAGAAGAAAAAAAGGTTTATAGTTTTTTAGACAAAACTTCGCTCGTCCCTGAAGTACAATCTAAGAAAGCCAGTTTTTTAGAAAAATTGCAAAATTTGATTTTGCGATGTTTATGGTAACCTCCACAAGTTAAAAATAACGGCAGTGTGGATTGTACAGGGTGTAGTTGGTCATGGATTTCAAAAATCCCGCTTCGCCGAAATTCTGCCCCATTAAGACAGTTCTCACTTGTCATTAGTGTCATTTGGAACATGTCATTTTGAAGTCGTCGTTTTTATTATTTTAATGTTTCTCACGTGGGAATTACAGCAATTCTCGTTTATCCAAATTCAGAACAATAAAACAGTTGTTTTCAAAGCTCTTGGTGCTTACGTACGAAAATTTTGTTTTTGCGCTAGGAAGCGAAGACCGTGAAAATGATTTATTCTGTTGAACAAGACACTTTCATTCTTATGTCTTGTTATCGCAATGAGGCACTGGTAAACGAACAGTTTGTATATTCTGTAACCGCTTGTACGCAAGAATATCTAGCCAAATACCTTGATTTAATAATTCAAGAAACATTGTTAGATGCTTACATTACAGATGTAATCAACAGATTTGTTCGAACTGGCAGTGTCAACACAGGGAAATCTCCTGGAAGACGTTCAATATCTGAGGAAGTTGTTAATGATTTGAGACGACTTGAGTAAAACTCGCAGACATATTTGACAAAGATATGAAGCATTTAGGCAACCAGTTATACAGATGCGTGTGGTATTTGTTATTCGTCCTTGGGCATTTAGTAAAGTTCAAAATTGAGAGGCGGCACGTTTTCATTACCTACTTCGACTCTATAATCATTTACAGAAACTCTGTAAAGCAGGTAAAGACCCTTCCTATGGGTATATTCCAATAAAGTTTTTAATAATAAAATTTTGTAATGACCTTATCAGTTTTTTAACAAGGTTACAAAAACGGCAAAAAATCGATAAGAAAAATGACAAAAACAACAAAAAAAACACGATACATAGAAGGCAAAGACAAAAAGCGACAAAAATGGAGATAACTGGGGCAAAAAAGTGAGTCAAAAAGGTGATTAAAAGGGCAATAAAAAAATGCGATTAAAAAAAGCATAAAAAGACCACACAAAGGCGACAAAAAGAGGGACAATTAAAAAAGGGGAGGAAAAAGCAGGAGAGAAAAAAAGACTACAAAAAAGCGATAAATAATAAAGATAAGGACAAAAAATTCCACGAAAAATACATTGAAAAAAACGAGTAAAAAGGGGTAGTAAAGGGCAAAAAAGACGGCAGAAGAATGGGACGAATGACATTGACACATAAAAGTCGCCAAAAAAGCTACAAGCAAAATGTGTAAAAAAGATAGTCCAACAAACGATGAAAAAAAGGAGAATAAAAAAAGCCTATAAAAAATGGAGATGTGGGAGGTTGAATCCTGGCCTTTCAAATGCATAGCTTTTTTATCTTATCTATGGCCTACGTTTCAAATGTTTCGTATTAGTACCGAGTGACTATTAATTTTTCTATTTTTTTGTCAGGTTGGCAATTGATCTCAAATTTTATGATGCCAGATTTATATTTATGACATCAAATCAGCAGCTGTCATCTTCTCCACGCGTTTGTGAGGTGCGCTCATGTTAAAATTTACAACAATGAACTGACATATACTAACATTGTTGACAATAATTCCGAATTGCCAACACAAGATTTTATTAAATGATTAATAGTCACCCGGCATTTAAAAAATATCTTTACAACTAGAAATATTAAAAAATATTAAAAATATTGTTTAATGAAAATTATCATATCTAGAAAAAAAATTAAATCAAAGCGGATTCATAACCACCAGTATTTTGTAAAATATTTAATTGCATTTTCACGAAGTCCCTAAATTTAAATTACGTATAAAATTTGAACAGTCGGTCTGGTAATTTCGAAGAATAATCTGTCTAATAAAAATCGACACAGACAGACGGAAATGGAAGACCTATGACTTCCCGAGCGTAAGCTAAATAAGTATATAATCGAGTCCATTTTTATATTTTCTCGACGTTTCATGACCCCTAGAGTACGAAAAAATTAGTCTCCGGTTGCCGTCTGTCTGTTTGTCTGGTGTCTGTATTAGGCACGTAATCTTCGAAACTGCTGCATCTATTGTTGTCAAATTTTGTATGTATATTAGAAATATACATTTGTAGCACTATATTGTATCGTGAGATCGAAAAAGTAATTAGTGAAAGTTGGCCATGCACGACAAGCCGTTAGTCGTAATTTATTTTTTTTTATTAAACGTCAAATTGACACTATTTTTAATACACATAAAAATGAATCAAAATCACCGTTTTCCACTTTTGTCCCATTTCTGAAGTAAGATTCTAACAAAAAAGCTTTAATTTCGTTTGATAATATTGCAAATTACTTTTGTCAACGTGACGTTTAAAAAAAAATTGGTCTAAAGAGTTTAGACAGTACTTCCCTCGCTGTCGGAAACTTGACGACTGCATGCCTATTATGTTTTTTTTTCTCATTACATTTTTGTAGTGGGAATTTAAAAAAAAATTGTGATGACGTCATCAACATTTTTGCAAGGACACGTATATCAGTTGGGATAGATGTAGTGTAATACTAAGAATAAAATTATTGTGTTCCCAAATTTTCGGGAAAATGAATTGGGTCGTTTTGAATATTGATTTCTTATAATCAATAAAATAACGAAACAATTTACTCACGTATACGGCGCCGGTGTGTAATATCTAGAGAGCGGATTTCTGTCGGGCTAGGCAAGGCCAAACTCGGTACGGCTCGTACGGGATGGGAATTCATTGCAGTTACCGGCTGCACTTCGTTTATTTGAGATTAGAATAACGCTGCTTCGTTGCACTCTGCTGTTAATTCCCGTTCTCATTTACTTAGCCGTTTGATTAATAAATCGTTAATTATATTTATGGAATCCAGCACGTCCCCCCCTATAATCGTGACGTAGCCCGACAGAAATCCTCTGTCTAGTAATATGAGGGGCAACTGAAAATCGTTTATGTATAAACATTCTTAATTTAAGATGACAAGCGTAACAGCATACGTAAGAGCCAAACAGAGAAACTGTAAACAAAACGACCATCGGTTTTATTGCTTCGACTTCCGCTTATTATATAAAACATTGCGTTTTATTTTAATTCTTGACGGTGAAATTCACAATTGGTTGATTATAAACATGTCTATTTCGCATTCGCGGAACCAAGTGACCGCATAAAACAAATGCAGGTCTGTAATGTTAAAGTCGATGTAAATAAGCGTGCTACTCTTATGTTTCAACCGAGTTTTTCCTTTAACAAATTTTGTGTCTACCAAATTGGGTTGGTTGGGGTGTAATACTAATAATAAGTGTTGCCTTTAATTTAATCAATAAAATAAATTGACTTCATTAATTTTTTTGAACCACCTCTTAAGAAAATCTAAAAAATATGAATGGAATGATAAATCACAAGTACAAACTCATCATATTTTTTGCATTTTAGATAGGATTTATTCAGCAAAATTTAAGGGTGACGTCATCAATTTTTTTAGGAGGGATGAACAAATACATTTTGAACAAAAGTTTACCATGCTTATAATAACTTTAAAATATTCCCAAGATTTCAAAGCATTCGGTTTTGTAATTCCTGATTAAATCGATAAAATAAATTCACGCCTTCATTAATTTTTTTGAGTCACCCTGCATATGCAAATCCAAAAATATGAATGGAATGATAAATCACAAGTACAGACTCATCATATTTTGTACATTTTAGATACGATTTATTCGGCAAGCTGACGTCATCAGTTTTTTGTAGAAGATAACCAAATATATTTTGACTAAAAATTTATTATGCTCTTTATAACCTTACAACATCTGCAAGATTTCAAAGCATTCGGTTTTGTAGTTCCTGATTAAATCAATAA